TTTTTTTTTGTATATTTTATTTGTACAAATTGATCGTTACATCAATTATCTTTTATTATATTAATGATAATCATTATCATTATAATTTGGAAAAACATACTTTCATAATATTTTACACATAATTTTTTTTTTTTTTTTTTTAATATCAATTGAAACATGCATCTTTCGAAAATTTTGTAAATATCTATTTTACAGAAGTTTGAGTGCTCATAAACTTAAAATACTTAACCTAGTAAATTTATGATGGCTGATTTAAAGAAGCTCCTTTTAAAAATTTCTATTCAATAATACAAAAAATATTCAAACATCTTAAATGATTGTAATGTACTATACAAAGTACTGACTTTCTTCTTTACTATTAGGCTAAACTCTTTGTTTCCAAAGCAAATCCATTCTCACCACAAATGATTATCTATCAACAGCGTTAAACAAATGCATAATAATCTTAATTGTACAAAAAAATATATTTTGTTAGAAAGGTAAAATGCACAAAAAAAAATTTATTTGCTGTATGCGTTAAATTCATTAACTTCTTGAATGCAGCCACCAAAAATGAATAAATATATAAAGAACAAAGAAGTAATATACCTATATTTGATTACTGAATAGTTACTACATATTTAAATATAAAAATATCAGCATTAAGATAAAAAATTTCCAAGTAAAAGAACTACTAAAATTAATAATATCCTAATTTATTTGAATAGTAGTAATAGTTCTAAACTGTAGACTATAAGTAATTTTTATACACATATGACATGATTAAAGATAAATATAACTAAATCAGTTTATTATTCAGTGGATAATAAAGTGGATAATACTAGTAAAAATTTGAATTTACAACATATCTTACTAGTAGCTTAACTTGACTTATGTTATTATGTAGACTTTAACTTATATACTTAATAACCTGGTTAATCTTAAGCTATCCTTAATAAAACTTAGCCAAAATCACAATATATATGTTTAATGTAATTTAATATAACATAAAGTATCTTAACGTTTCTTTAAGGTAAGACAAGGCGAATTATTAAGAGTAGCAAAGTAGGATAAGAACACTACATAAATAACTATGCATAATGTACTGTGAGTTTTATATATAAGTCCTTAAATTATTTTATAAATACATATTGAAAATAAATAATATTAATAAAGAAGACTGTGAATCAGGATATATTAATCATAATTATTAAAGGAAGCAAGAGCAGGGTCATTAAAAAAAAAAAGGGTAATCAAGCAGAGGAAGTTCAATGACCACAAATTATTAAATGACTTAAGCACAAAATTATTCAACTTTATATTAAATAATTACTAACTTTACGCTCATCTTCTTTTTTCCTTTTTATATTTTTGTAGATAACTAGAATTTTAATGCTGTACTTTAAATAATGGGTGTGCTGCATTCAAGTCAGAATTTTTGAGTCACTGTTCATAAAATGTGCATACACATATAACTTTTTTATGCACATATTTATTACTTTACGTTATTATAATGACCACACTAAATTTTATTAAAAATTATTAGTGAGAAAAATTTATTTCAAGAATTCTGACTGTAGTTTTAGACACATAAGAAACCAGATGATATGATATTTAAATATATTTATAAAACACATTGTTATCCATAGTTCCCATGATAATTAGAAAAACAAGCACCATTATGTAAAATACCATTAAATAGAATGATATGTTGGATATTATTAATATTAATCATTAAATGGAAACCATTTCAAACAATGCCAATTTAGATATACATAAATAATTATGACGATGTACTCACCCCTCGATTTCTTCTTTTCTTGATCATACATTATAACCACCTCCATAACTTTACCAAAACGTGTAAAGAATGATCTGAGATCAGTCTCTGTCACGTTACTTGGTAAACCACCAAGAAAAACTTTTGGAAAGCCCCCACTGCGTTTTGGTTTTTGTTGAGTTCGTGGGTTGCATGGTTTAGGATCAATCTATAACAGAAAAACAAATAATAAATACATAAATTCATTATATTATATCATAGTAACCCGATAATCTTTTAATATCAAAATAATACTAACTGTGCGTCCATCAAGTTGATGCGGACCATTTTGAAGAACTAATGGTACATTAGCCGGATCACTAAATGTTACAAAGCCGAAACCACGACTGCGACCAGATTCACTGTTTTTCATAACAACGCAGTCAATTACTTCGCCATAACGGCCGAAATAACGTTGAAGATTCTCTTGTGTTGTCTCCCAAGACAAACCACCAACAAACAACTTTCTGTAATAAAAGTGAAAAAAAAATTACTAACATAATTAATACCAGTCAAAATAAATATTTTCAAATTAAATTAAACTATGATTAATAAAATAATTAATCAAATAAAATAATTGCTCATACTCATTTTTCATAATAAGTTATATAACGAAAAAAAATATATTTCGAAGTAAATATTGTACGAAATATATCTAAGCTACTAACGTAATGAATAATAAAACAACAAATAATACAGTTGCACTGTATAATTACATCTCATATATACAAAAAACTGCATTACAAAAGATTTGTCAATGTCCTGTTCGTTTTATTTAATAATTCACAACATTACGATATTTTGCGTTGCGATGATGTTTCTTCTTCAATAAGGAAAATTTACGTAAAACTCGAAATATAATAATATAACGATCGGGGTATATCTATCAATAATCGTAATTAATGAAGCATGCAAGAAAATCATGTAGAGGAGAAAGAGTATTAAAATGATGGGATCTTTCAGGATATAGAGCATAAAAATAGAGAATCTAGAGCTAAAGGATGTAACGAGCGACAATGCAGTAACATACTTTCACACCGAAATAATATACAGAAAATGTGCGATGAATCCCTAGCTATTATACACGAATTCAACAATATCGTCAAAAACGGTTGCGTTAAATGCTGAAATGTGCCGGGTTATAGACGACAAAAGTACTATGCAGAACCGGCATCGCCGAATTATTGCCCTCTCATGAAAAACTAGATATTCCAACCGTTTATTAGTATGAGAAAAAAAAATGCTGGCTCCGCGTATCGTGAAAATTATACATGACTAACGAGACTCGATGACGTTTCACGTATCGCGAATAAACGATTTGACTCGAGTTCGAGAAAGCATCGCGTGGAAGCGTGAAATGCGAAGTAACTGCAGTACGCAAATGGAGATCCCACGCAATAAACCCGACAGCCCGACGAACGCGTCGATCGGAAATTCTCGAATAAAAAATGTCTTCAAACAGCCACTAATACGCAATTCAGACTTACCCCTTCTCGTCGTCGTCCATTTCGGTCTTCACTCTCATAATATTTCACTTAAAACTACGAAAATGTTGTTAGTATTGGGACGCGAGCGGGAATATGGCACGATACAAATCGTAGACGAACGTAATGGTTCCCTACAATGAACGCGACGTCGAGAACAGAATGTAAACGTAACGAAGCGACTCGCGTCACTTCCGTCGAGGAACTAGTCAAATCAGCAACCGTATTCAATGGTGTTTCAGGGATGTGCGCAGTAAGATGGCGCGCCCTCTGCAACACGAGACGCACGAATACGTTAAACGAATCGCGTTTACATTGATTATATTACTTTTCATAGACAAATGACACGCATTTATAAAAATAAACCGACATTCCTCTTATTGATACTAAAAATGATTACAAAAAATTTATAGCAATTGATGTTTCACAGTGGAGCTTATTACAACCCTGAAGAAAATATTACACAATGAATAAATTCAATGTGAAACTAAATAACCAATGAAATGATCGACGATGTATTTTTACATATTTTCTACGTACAATTAAGAAATATGCCGAAATAAATATACTAGTTGAATACAGCAGTGCTTCTGGGTTCAACGATCTGTCGTCACACAGCGCCCGCCATTTTACCCTCAAACTAGCGGGAAATTTTAAATCGTCTGCAATCTATCAGCGTATTGAAGATACGCTTGATATACAGGGAAAATTAAAACTTTGCTCCCTAATCGTGAGAACAAGCACACCTGCATGAAAAAGATTGCATCTACATTACGAACTATCGTACATCTATCGCAAGTTCGCAGTTTTTATCGAAATACAAACTAATTTTCTTCTCACATAAAATGCAATCTTCCAGTCATTGCATAATGTATAAAGAACCGTGCATTGTGCAACGCGTTAGTGTTTATACTAGTATTAATTTCGCAAGAAGCTCAGGTAGAACGATATTAGCATTAATGTCCACGTAATTCTATACGTTAGTGTTAGCACCGTGAACATCTAATTAAAAACATTTCCTTTAAATTCGAAATCCAACAGCGTATTCAAGATACATGCCAAAAACAAAATACATAAATTATACTTGTGTTATTCTAAGTTACAAACATTTTGGATGGACAATG